CCTGCTGTAGCAGCACTAACTCTCCCCTCGCCCACATCCGGACGGGGCTGACTGCTGTCCCCATCCGTCATTTTGCCCAACCCATCAAATTCCTGCTCTGGGCTACCTGTGTTCCTGCGCCAGTGGCCGCTGTGCGCAAGCCCCGGGCCAAAAACCTTCCCACATCCGGACGGGGCTGACTGCTGTCCCCATCCGTCATTTTGCCCAACCCATCAAATTCCTGCTCTGGGCTACCTGTGTTCCTGCGCCAGTGGCCGCTGTGCGCAAGCCCCGGGCCAAAAACCTTCAGGGAGATGGTGGCAGCCCCCCTTGGGAGGTTTGCTAGGTTGCAGCCAGCGGTGTCGGTATTTAGGAGACGTTGGGGCTCGTGGTGTTAATACAAGCTTGCCTGCCCCGGCAGGAGGAGGATTCCCTACAGATAGAGGAGAAGATCAAATGGGGGGACGGCTTCGCTGTGGTCTACTCCGTGACGGACAGGTGCAGCTTCGATGAGGTCATGCGGCTGTGCTTCCTCATCAACCACATCCACTCCAGCCCCAAGCGGAGCAGCGGGAGCGAGCAGCCCCCCGTGGTCATCGTGGGCAACAAGAAGGACTTGCAGTTCGACAGGATGGTGTCCACGGAGGACGGCGAAAACCTCTCGAAAGCTCTGAAGCTCCCTCTCTACGAGATCTCCACCCGGGACAGCTATGAAGAGACCGTGGCGGTGTTCAACACCCTCTACCAGGAGCTCATGAGACAGGGGCATTTCTCCCCGGGCTCCTTCAAGAGGAGGACAGTGTCGAAGCTGATGGAGAAGATCCCCAAGATGCAAGCCAGCTCCACCTTGAACTCCGCGGGCCGGAGCCTCAGCTTTAACTCCTTCAGGGACTACATCCCTGAGTGAGCGTCCCCGCAGCAGAGGCGAGAGCGGCGGCGGGGCCGGGACCGAGGGATAGGTTATCCTGCTGTGAGCCCAGGGCTGAGGAACAGACCGTGGGGCTGTGCTGGCTACCAGGCGTGCTGGCTCCCAGGAGGGGAAGGTTAAGAGGTGGGGAGGGTGGGATTGGGGTTCAACAGCCTTTTAAAGCCCACAGGCTTTTACAAATGCGCTTTGTGTCAGCAGGGAAGATGTTCTTTGTCCGTCTTTCTTACCCCTTGGCTCCCTCCTCCTCCTCCTGCACGCTGAAGTCAATACCGAAGGTGGTTCGTGGTGACTTCGGGGGTGTTGGGTCGACCCTCACAGACTCAGTAGTGTTCCAGCGGGGATCAGACCCGGCACAGGCACCTCTCTCTGGCTTTCCCCGCTCCCCTAAGAAAGCTTGCTGGGTCTGTTTGCGCCCCAAAGCGTGCACCCACAAC